AGCAGCAGCAGCAGCAGCAGCAGCAGCAGCAGCAGCAGCAGCAGCAGCAGCAGCAGCAGGAGCAGCAGCAGCGGCGGCGGCGGTGGCGTGAAGGCCGATTGAGCTCTCTGTGGAACATGGGAGAAGGTCGTGGAAAACCAGCAGCCAGCTCTCAAACCAAACCCTAAACCCTAAACCCTAAACCCTTGATCCTAAACTCTAAACCCTAAACTCTAAACCCTAAACCCTAAGCGCTGAACCCTCTAGAGCTCTAGATGACTTAGACCCATCGCAGGGGCGATAAAGCTAGAGGCCCTTCGCATAATGCAAATAAGCCAAGCTTTGTTTTAGGGTTTAGGGTTTGGGGTTTAGGGTTTAGAGCTCACCTGATGGAGCTCGTTGCTTATGATTAGATAGAGAGGGGCGAGGCGGCCGTAGGCCTCCTGGCTGTTGCTGATTTGCTGCTGCAGCGCATGCAGCACTTGAGAGTCTCCTTGCTGCTTTTGCCTCTTGCGGGGGTGCTGCTGCTGCTGCTGTTGCTGCTGCTGCAGCAGCTCCGCCAGCTCCACGGCCTTCTGCTGCAGCGCCACCAGCCGGTGCTGCAGCAGCACCTGCTGCTGCTGTAGCAGCTGCGTGCTGCACAAACGGGCATTGAAGCCAAAAAGGTCTCCCGCTGCTCCAGTGCAAAGTTCCTGCAGCACCGCCTCGTCAGATCCAGCTGCAGCAGAAGCGCGCAGCAGCAGCAGATGCAGCGGCTGCCCAGCCAAGCAGCAGCAGCAGCAGATGCAGCAGCAGCCCAGTCAAGCAGAAGCAGCAGCAGCAGCAGCGAGCCAAGCAGCAGAAGCCCAGACAAACGCTGCTGCGAGCAGCAGCAACCACCTGCAAGCAAGAAACTGCAGCAGCAGCAACTGCAGCAGCAGCAACTCCAGCAGCAGCAGCAGCTGCAGCAGCAGCTTACTCTCCAAAGGCTCGTGCAGCTCAGCAAGAGACGAACAAATTTTTGCTGTTAAGGCGCACTCGGCTTCCGTCTGCTGCTGGTGCTGCCGCCGCTGCAGCTGCTGCAGCAGCTGGACTGCAGCAGCAGCAGCAGTGTTGCTCAACCAGTAAGCAGGCCACAACGAGTAGCCTCCCTGAACGCTGCTGCTGCTGCTGCTGCTGCTGCTGCTGCTTTGCCGGCCGGGCCAAGGGGAAATGTTCTGCTCTGCTGGGCTCAAGTTTCCCACGAGCAGCCGCCGCACGTCCACTGCAGCAAACACCGCCCCAAACCCTAAACCCTAAACCCTAAACCCTAAACCCTAAACCCTAAACCCTAAACC